CGAGCTAAGATCCGTGATATCAGTTACATGTGGAGAGATAGAAGGATTGTAGATGGCAAGAGGAGTGGTCTACATAGCTTCTATTACATCCTCAACAACCTCATCAAGAACACCATCAACCCAAAGGATGGAGCAGCCTCAGATATTAATGGCTATGTGAGAAATGTGTTGGCTAGATTTGCTCTAGGCGGAGACAGGTTTAATGTCCCTAGATTCATGTGGACTGAGTTGAGACTTGCAGTGGAGGATGGAAGGAGGGGGCTGCCCTATGCCCCTTACCTCATGATTGAGAGGGTCACTGAATTTTATTTTCTGAAGGATGGGATGCACACAGTCTACAAAATTGAGAAGACCCAGCCAGCTGCAGCTACTCAGGGAGCGGGGAGCTCTCATGCTCATGTAGATATCCCTGAGTCTTCCCACTCTAGGTCTCGCAAAGGAGGCAAGATGAAGAAGTTTGGCAAGTGGTTGAAGGCAATCTTTGGCAAGTGCACCTATGTAGCTGACAGAGCATATGAAACACAGCTTGAGCAGCGTCAACAGCGTAGACAGGACCTTCCACCACTTCCTCCTATTCCACCTCCTCCACAGTATGACCTTCCGAGTCTCTCTATCATAGATTCAGATGATGAGGATGATGATGAGGAAGAGGAGGAGCAGGGACGAGCAGCAGATTGTGATGAGACCCTAGAGGGATACCGTCCGAGACAGGAGCCGAGGCATTCCACTCGTTCCACTCGCTTCACCGCCACTACTCACCGTCAGGGCTGTGCACGTATTGACTCCAATGACGATGATGGTGATGGTGGTACTGGGACTGCTGCAGGAGGTGATAGGGCTGCAGGAGGTGATGATATTGATTGGATGGACATCTAGGGAGATGACGAGTATGTGTTGATCTTTCTTCTTTTCTTCTCTTTTTGGTGCTTTATGCCAAAGGGGAGAAAATTAGAGGGGTCAACAACTTTTTCGATGCCATGGAGGTTACTGTAGCTAGAGTCATGTTCATATCCGTTTAGAGTAGTCTTTGTTAGGTGAGAGTTTGAGAGTCCATTAAAAACTCTAAATTATGAACTAATGCTACTATTTGACTCGCCGCAACCAGCTGCAACAGTAAACCATGTTGTGCATAAACTATCATTTGCATCACATTTTACATACCTGACACAATATGCAGCACCCCACAGGAGTGAAAGGATCAAGATGCCCAAGAGGGGGAGGTGAATTGGGCTAATTCTATTTTTTTTTGCAATAATTAAGCCCTACACTTAGCCCATTTCACTCCTTGTGTCTAGAATGTGTTTCTATTGTTCTGCCGTACAAAAGTTTTGCATCCTAGGTTCCAATCCTACTCTAGCATCGCAATTCTAGGAATGTAAAGACATGAAATAAATTGCTCAAATGTAAATGCTCAAAATAAAGAGAGAAAAAGGAACGCGGCGATATTTCCCTGAGATATCGGGGAGTTGCCACTCCCCACTAGTCCTCGTTGGAGCACCCGCGCAAGGGTGTAGCTCCCCCTTGATCCACGCAAAGATCAAGTGCTCTCTACGGGCTGATTCTTTGACACTCCGTCACGGTGAATCACCCCACAACCGCTCACAACATGACTTGGGTCATTCACAAGCTTCGCTGGATGATCACCAAGCTCCCAACCACCACCGAGCTGTCTAGGTGATGGCGATCACCAAGAGTAATAAGCACAAACTCTCACTTGACCAAGACAATCCTAATAAGAAAGATGGATGCACACTTGCTACTCCCTATGCACTAGTGAGGTATTTAATCTTGGATTATCAACTCTCAATCACCACACTAGGCTCTTGCTCTCTCTTGCACTCCAAAGGCATTTCACAGCTGAACAATTGGGCAAGAGACCTCCCATGAACGAGTGGGATAAGTATTTATATCCCCTCATTCAAAACATAACGGTTGGAGGCCAACTCAGCAACTTCAGGGTGACCGAACGCGCCGGTCAAGGTGACCAGACGCTCCGGTCAGTAGTACACATCACTGTGTCAGATAGAGCCGTTAGCTCTGACCGGACTCTGACCTGTGTCCGGTCATCACCCACCGGATGCGTCCGGTCAACAAAATGCCCCTATAGATGCTCTCTAATATTGATCGGACGCAGGCACCCTAGCGTCCGGTCATGTACTGTTTAGCATTCGGTCAGTACATGACTGTAGCTGTTGATCAAATGAACTGACCGGACTCTTCACGCTGCGTCCGGTCACAACTAAACCAGCGTCCGGTCAGTCATTTAACCCTCCATTTACTTCTAATTCGAAATCTTTCAAGAATGAAGTTGACTTCTATCGATCTTAGGTCTATTTCTAAGCTATCTAGTGCTAAGTTTGATATGTGTGCACCACACCTAATCTAATAGACTCACCTAGACCAAGCTACTAGTCCATACCCCCCTTAATAGTATGGCCAAAGGAAAAATAAAGTCCTAAACTAGTCTAAGTGTCTCTCTAACGTCAAACGACACTTAGAACTAGTCCGTCCTTAACCTTGTCGTCCATCCTTTGAAAACTGAAATGATTTCCATCGACAGGGGCATGACAACCATGATTGCCTAATTAATTTCCATTACCATGACCTAACTCAAATTGCCTCTGCAAAACACACGTTAGTCATAGTAATATCGTGCCATCATTAATTACCAAAACCCAACTAGGGGGCTAAATGCTTTCAAGGAGCATGGATGTAGGGGGAGCCCCATCACTTTCACTAAAATGTGAATCTTGGCCTCTAATGCCAATTTGAAAATTCAATTCTCTATTCACATACTTAGGGGGAAGCTCTACACCAATGGCTCAAAAGTCTCAGTGTTTATTTCATATCTTTTGTAAGCTCTAATTGGGTTGTCACCAATCACCACAAAGGGAAGATGAAAAGTGCAATCAAGCCTTAATTGTGGGTTTTTGTGATAATGCCCACGCAATTAGAGAACTAATGAGATTTATCGAGATAACAAGCAGGGAATTTATATTCGACGATGCTACACGAAATGAAGGAGCCCCTAATTATAAATGTAGATGGCTTTAAACTCAAAGGAGGTTTAAATTCTTTTATATATTGAATTTGAGTATAGAAAAAGTCATACTATAAAGGTGCACAATGCTTAAGCTAATATGTGCTACCAAGTGCTCAAACAACCATATGCATCTTCAGATTCACAGCCAATATAGTCTACACTTTACTATTATCCTTACTGTCTTACGTGGTGTGGCACTGCCACACTTAAAGAGAGGCTCTCCTGACCCCTTGGTCGTGGGCTCTGGCTCGCTCGACCCCAAGGTCGCGGGATCCGACTCTCCTGACCCCTTGGTCGTGGGATCCGGCTCGTCCGACCCCTTGGTCGTGGCTCTGGCTCGCCTAACCCTTGGGTGCGGGCTTCATCTCGTCCGACCCCTTGATCGCGGGCTTCGTCTCACCTGACCTCAAGGCCGCGGGCTTCGTCTCATCCGACCCCTTAGTTGTGGTGTCTGTTGAGGGCTGGGGGTATATATATCTTTTTCTTTCCTCCCCAACAGCTATCTGCGATTTAAGTGATCGTTGGGGGCTGGAGGGTATATATACATTTTTCCTTCCTATCCAACGGTAACTGGCTCTCTTCTTCCTCACTTCAGCACGCCCAAAAACAGAGCATGAGCTCTCTCTCTTACTCTATTGTTGACCTCAAGCCCCCAAGCAAATTCATTGATTTCCATATCAATCATTAAAAAAAATTGTCCAAAACTTGATTTGAGAGCAACTCCATTGATTTCCAAACTCTAAAGAGCACTTGGTTCATGTTTTAGCCAGCAGTTGTGTTTGTTACTCTCGAAGTTTGGCTGCTAGCCGGCTAGAGCGTCGCCCGTGGAGCTTGTCAACTTGTGTGGCACCCTCGGAAGGTTTGTGACCACCTCTTGCAGCGAGTAAAATCACCCCTTATCTGAAGAGTTCACTCTCTTGACTTGAGAACGAAGTAGGGTTACAAAGCCCTAAAGCCTTAGTGGTATACCTCAACAACGTGGACTTAGGTAAGCTTTGGTGGCGAGCTGAACCACGGGATAAATCCTCGTGTCATCTTGTACTCGTGTTGCTAAACTTATGTTCTTGTTGTTGTTGAGGTGATTTCTAGAGTTTAAGGCTGATCTACTTGTGTGTGGTGTTCTCACCACTTTCAGCTGTCAATTTATGATCTACTACCCTGCAGGAAGCTAAGAAATTTATCCGATCTAAATTTCGTTGGGTAGATTTTGAACTGTGAACTAATCTCTTCTGCAGGCGCAACAGTCCTACTGTGCAGCAGTGCCGAGCTCATAGAACGGTAGTGCCGCGGATGAATTTGACTTCAGTTTAAGCTGAATTTTTACAGACCTATTCACCCCCTAGTAGACGTAACAGAGATCATACTAAGTGTTTGTAACATCACGATGGAAAAAAGTGCCACCTTAATAAAATATTTTTTCTTTTTCTCATTTGCAATGTTCCTCATATTAATGTTATTATTATGGTTTCGCTAATTTTTAAACCAATTACGTACAATTTACAAACCAGGAAGAATAAAAACAAAAAGAAAATAAAATCCAAGGAACAAGGAATGGCCCATGTGGCCATGTCCCAGGAGACGGCCCGTGCGGGTGCGCTTGCTCCACGCCTCCAACTCGGCCGCCGTTCTCCCCTCCCCGCGTCGACAACTCGGCTACCGCCGCCGCCCTACGCTACGCCAGCTTCCCAGAATCCCAGGTCTTCGTCAGGCCCTTCTCCGGCAAGAGCACCCAGGTATGCCCGCCCCTTCTCTGCCCTCCCTGCCGTGCGAAACCAAGCACCCAAAGCCGCTCGCCAGCCCGCCGCCGCTGCCACTCACCCAGGAGCGCCGCCCCCGCGAAGACCACGTATGCCGCCTCCGCCATGCGCGCCGCTCGCCCAGATCCGCGCGAGGCGCGCCGCCCCCTCTCGCCCAGGTGCGCTGCTGCTCGCCCAGGCCACCGCTGCTCCCGGCGACCATGGCCTTGAGCTCCGCCCAGGCGCCGGCGGCGAGGCCTGCTGCTTCCCGTCCAGATCTGGTTCGCCCTCGAGCTCCACCCAGCCCCCGCCGCTCGCCCAGCCGGCGCGCTCTGCTCGCTCGCTCCGCCCCCCGCCGCCGCCTGCTCGCTCGCGCTCGGCCGCAGCGCTCGCACTCCAACTGGGTCGACCCCACCCGCATCCTGGGAGAATATTCCCTATAGGGAACGAACCCAACCCTCTGGTCCCCCAACCAAACACCTCCAAAACTGGGTCCAACCCATCCCAACCCACTTCAACCCCCCAACCAAACACACGCTTATATTTGAACGGTGCAAAGATTATTGCAGCTCCTAGACATAAACAGGACATGCAAAGATTCTGAACAACCTCGACATATGATCCACCTTTGTTTTGAGTAAAGCATGGATTTGTTGGTGATAGGTAGGAGACAAAGTAGAAAAGTCACCGCATATCACCCGTGCTGCTTCGTCTGTCTACAATGTCAAATATTAACAGTCAATCCATTTGTGTGCTCAAGGGGAAATAATAAGCACTGAAACTGAAATTATGTTTCGTGATAGTAACAGACTCAATCTTCTATTCTCCATAGTATTGTAATAACAACAATGGCTGTTTTTACTAAGTTATAAACAAACTTAATGGATCACTAGCACATTCTAGAAAAAATAGCATTTAGATTAAGAAGTCATATGTTAGAAGACACAATACATAAGTGAATGCTGCTGTATCTCGGCCTAAAGCTCCAAGCTAACTGATGCGAGCAGTCAATTATTAGGTTTACAATTTTCGCTGTGAACCACCAAGCGGATCAACAAATACAAGAGAATTAGCAAGAGAGTGAAGAAACCGAAGCATTAAGTATTATTGGTTAAACTGAAACTGAATGCAATTCTTGTTAAATAATAGACTAAAGAATTCTTGGTAAACTACCCTAGCTAACTACCAGCAGGTTGCCAGTAGCAAGTTACATGAATAAGTCAATGAGTGAGATTTATAACTACTGTGGAGTACCATGATCCTCATTGCAAAAACAAAGCAAAAATTAGGACCAAACAAAAAATGAAAAGAATATGTTGCATAATTACTTCTGCCTAGCTAGTTGATAAACAATTGTGCGGACCATCCATTTCGGACCAGATACTTTTCGCACCCATTCCATTTCAAGCAGATTAAGTTAAGCAGAAGAAAACCACAACCTTTTGTTCTCAGATTTAGCAAAAACAGCAAGAGATATAATAAGGGGAAAGCAACGAGCGCAGGTGTAACATGGAATAGTAATAGTAGAGATACCTCTAAGCCATTTCATTTCTTAAAATATCAGGGCAGATTCTTGATCCCCATCATAAGCACTCAAAAAAATGTCCCTGTTTTCTGGATTCTTGAAGACCCCATATGCTTTGGCCTTTTCCGCCTTTGTCATTTCCAATGTGTTGAGAATAGATATGCACCTCTTGATTGAGAAATCATTGCCTTGAGAAATCTCCTTTTCTTTTTGCTAATTGTGCAGCCTCATCCTCAGCTTGCTTGGTCCTCATTGTCAAGATATCTCTCTGTCAGTCCTTCTATGTTACCACTCTTTCTCTGTCTTTTCGGTTCTTTTTCATGGCTGTTTCTTGATGCAACATCAACAGTTCTTGGTAGACTTGCAGCTTCTTCCTCTTCAGTTGGCTGCACACTCGCATCAGATTCTTCCCGTATTATACATACACTGTCCTTTGTTTTGATGCTACTGTCAGTTAATGTAAAACGCTTTAGCTGCCAGTGGATCATAGTCTGTTCGAGAAGCACACCATGGAGGCATGGATTTCGTAAATCTTATGCCACCTCCATTCAATATTAGTTGACATTTCAGACGCCCAAATTGGCCAGCGATTAGTTGTATTTTGCTGTAAGAATGTCTAGTGATAATGACTGGAGTGTCATACTATTAGTTGTATTTTGCTGTAAGAACTCAGAAATGTCAGGTGATGATGACTGGAGTGAATACTGTCATACTATATATCTAGTCACCTTTCATCTCCAATTCATCAACATTTATTATGTACTCGTACATCTGGCTGATTTTGTCCACATAATAACAATGTTGTTTGCCTTCATGTCCTGCTGCACAGATCGTGAACCTCTACAGCCTAACGATGGCGGGATTCAGAAGCCTTGCACCCAAGACCAGGAACCTGGTGGTGGCTGGGGGACTGTCTGCCTTCGTGCTCGGGGTCTACTACTACACCATGAGAGCGGTGGGAGGCACGGACGAGCTGCAGGTGGCGATTGACAAGTTTGAGGACATGAAGAAGGATGCTGCCAGAAACTCCAACGCAGGAGGATCATAAACACGCCCCTCCCTTCTCTGTACTGAACTTGAATCTGCGGGCTGACATGATACAATAGTTGCTCAATAACCCAAGACCAGGAATGCTTCTACTGTGTAATAAGTAATGCGTGGTACTCTTTATCAGATAGAGCTTGACAGCTTGTGCTTTGACCTTTGAGGATAGATGTACACTCGAGTGTCGAGTGTTTTGGTCCTAATATAATAGTGGCCGCAATGTCAGAATTTTCCTGATATAACTTGGCGAGACGGAAATTTTGTGGAATAACACGTATTTGCTTGTGTGATTCCCTTTCTCCTGCTCTCTCTGGCCACGCATTCCATTGCATATTTCCTGCATTGGTAAAGATCATCTCTCTCTGAAGGAAAGGAATGAACAACCGCTCAATTTCATAACTGGTGGTTCATTTGCATTTGTGCACTCGCCACTCGGACACATGGAAGTGAGTCATGAAAGCTTATCAGTTACAAATTATAATTTACTTTGACTAATGTCCTAGCAGGGACTGACCCATGAGTCCACCCGTGAAACCAAAGTGTACCCTGTTAGTTTACTGCGGGTTATCTGTGAATTGACCAATGAGCAATTATATCACAACCGATCCCTCTCTTCGCGTGAGTAAAGATTGAACGCATAAAAAATACAAAGAGGAACAGTGCTCCGAACAAATTCGATCACGGGGTGAGAACAATACAGCGTGTCAGAGAGTCCCCTCACACTCACACCCAAACCCCAGCCGAGAATTAGACCTTGTTTAGATGGTCTCAAAGTTCCAAGTTTTTTCACTATTTCACTGTCACATCAATTTTTGTACGTATATATGGAGCATTAAATATAGATAAAAAAAATAACTAATTATACAGTTTGGTTGTAAATCACGAGACGAATCTTTTGAACCTATTTAGTCCATGATCAGACAAAGTTTGTCAAATACAAACGAAACATGCTACAGTGTCCAGATTGTAAAAATTTGCAATCTAAACAAGGCCATACTTCACTTGCCAGCACAGTCTCCGAGACAATTCCAGCATGAGAAATTCTGCTGAGGCAGGAGGCAGTGCGGCGCAACTGTAACGTGCGGGTATATCTGTCCGGATGCCATCTTCGCTAATGCGACACGGCGAGCTGAGCCCTCCCCACCCCGGACGCGACCAGCTGCATCGGCATGTTCGCTGGTTGGTTTTTGGACTAATTTAGGTTGGTTAATGCTGGTTTATTATGAGAGAAAAATACTGTTCGCTGACTGATTTAGGTTGGCTGAAACCGAACGGGCTATGTGCCACGCGCCCACGCCCCACGCCCACCGGCTGGATGCGCGCGCATTCGCATGCGGCGCAACAAAACCAACCAACATAACAGCTTCTCTCCCGCCCCCGGCGCGGCTCGTCGTCACTCGTGAGCCGCGTCATTCCGTCCGCCGTCCACGGCGCGCACGCCCGTGATGTCCTTAAATCCCCCCCGACGCTACGCCCTCCGGAATTATAACCCCGGGCCGCTTGCTAGTTATTGCAGGCAACTAGATCCGCGGTGACCACACCCACAGCCCACCGCCACCGCGCGACGACCAGACCATGGCCGTGCCGTCGCGAGCGCTGCTCCTCCTCTGCTGCGTCGTCGCCGCGGCACTGCTCGTCGCGCCGGGGGAGGTCGCCTCCTCGGGGCACGGGAAGCAACGGCACACGCACACGAGGCGGCTGCGGCCTGGGAAGAGCGGCTCGGCGGCCGCGAAGCCGTTGCCGTACCCGGTGAACGCGACGCGGGTGGAGGCGATCGAGCGGCAGTTCACGCGGTGGGTGCGCTTCATGGGCGGCCTCGGCCACAGCGGCTACAACCGGGCGCTCAATCGCGCGTTCCTGCCCACGCGCACGCTCGTCGTCGACAAGAACCCGGCCGCCGGGAACTTCAAGTCCATCCAGGCCGCCGTCGAATCGCTCCCGCTCATCAACCTCGCCCGCGTCGTCATCAGGGTCAATGCCGGCACGTACACGTACGTACATTGCATCTCTGCATTGCGCGCCCGCCCCTTCTTGCTTGCTTCCCCTGCCTGCACTGCTGCCTCGAAGATGGTTTACTTTAGCGTAGTAGCGAGAGGCTAAGAAGAGCTAGCGGACCTCTGTATGTAACCGTGCCGCGCGGGGCCGCTGTACGTGCAGGGAGAAGGTGAACATCTCGCCGATGCGCGCGTTCGTCACCGTGGAGGGCGCCGGCGCCGACAAGACGGTGGTGCAGTGGGGCGACACGGCGGACACGGCCGGGTCCGGGGGCAGGCCCATGGGCACGTTCGGCTCCGCCACGTTCGCCGTCAACTCCATGTTCTTCGTCGCCAAGAACATCACCTTCAAGGTTCATTCCTGGAAGCAGCAGCATGCAACATCAATCTTCTCTCTCTGTTGGTACGACCACGAGCCTGACATTGCCATATATTTTCCGCGCGCTGCCCAGAACACGGCCCCCGTGCCGAGGCCCGGCGCGCTGGGCAAACAGGGGGTGGCGCTCCGGATATCGGCGGACAACGCGGCGTTCGTGGGGTGCAACTTCCTGGGCGCGCAGGACACGCTGTACGATCACCTCGGCCGCCACTACTACCGCGACTGCTACATCGAGGGCTCCGTCGACTTCATCTTCGGCAACGCGCTCTCTCTCTACGAGGTCAGTCAGTCAGTACGCAGCTTGTTATGCACAAAACTGTCCAGTGAACTCGATCTGCACGTTCCTTCCGCTGCACAATGCAGCTCCAGCTTAACCAAAGGCATGCATGCCAGTAGCCAAAGCTTCCGCACTGAGCATCTCGTTGGCCTATGTGGCGGCATCGATATCCGTATCCCAGCAGTCGCAGAGGCCGTCATTATTGCAGTATCGCACTGCTATAGGGCACTTGTAGGACACAGACGCCGTGTTTAGTTGGACCCTAAAGTTCAAAAAGTTGCTATAATATCTGTCACATCGAATATTTACGACCCACGTATGGAGTATTAAATGTAGACGAAAATAAAAACTAATTGCACAGTTTGGCGGGAAATTGCGAGACGAACGTTTTGAGCCTAATTAGTCCATGTTTAAACACTATTTACCAAATAAAAACGAACGTGCTACAGTACTCCTAAAATTCAAATTCACCCAACTAAACCAGGGCAGAGTCACAGACACAGTCACTGTTAGACCCGGGAGTTCCTCGTTCCTAGGCAGGGGGGACTGTGAATCTGTGATGCTGTCCTCCCAGCACCCATGCTGGGACAACATGCCATTCCGCAAGCTCCGCGGCGGCATGTCCACGCACCCAGCGCCACCGCCCACCGATCGATCCGCTGCTGTACGTTGTTCACTGCATCTAGGACCCCTAACTGCACCACATCCTCTGGTGCTCTGTCCTCGTTTGGCCTCATCTTGTGGCTGGCCCTACACTCTACCTACAACACGTCCAGGTCCGGCCATGGAACAAGGGGATGTATATATAGTACAGTACGAGCACATTTTGCCAGGAGTACAGCCTGTATATAGTAGTGTAGCTGTGCGTGCTCCTACCACGTTTACTGCCAAAGAGTCACTGAAGAGCAGGTGCAAATGGAATGTTGATGCACATTAATAACTAATCGACCCCCTTTCAGTTTTTAATGGGGTACAGTGGAGTGAGCCAGTGAGGTGAACCGCGCCCACTTGTCGTTGGCAGCGGCACGGTTGCGGAATGCGGTTTTCTGAGACCTGCAGGTTCCCTGGGACCAGGCGGGGGATGCCGGCGGGCCGATGGAGCCCGGCCGCCCGTGACGCCTGCCATCGCGGGACGCCTAGCTCGTCGTCGTCTCCTCGTGCCTGCCTGGCTGCTTTGCCTTTTACACACACAGTACCACTTTCTTGTGTTCACGTGGCTGTATAACATGAAACATCGCAGAAAGAGCGTACACGCACACGCACCTATATATGTATGTTTGGAAATGAAAGGAATATAATAAAATGGACGATGCAAAAAAAAAATGCAGGGGTGCCATGTGCACGCGATCGCGCGGAACTACGGCGCGCTGACGGCGCAGAACCGGCAGAGCCTGCTGGAGGACACGGGGTTCTCGTTCGTGAACTGCCGGGTGACGGGGTCCGGCGCGCTCTACCTGGGCCGCGCCTGGGGCACCTTCTCCCGCGTCGTCTTCGCCTACACCTACATGGACAACATCATCATCCCGCGCGGCTGGTACAACTGGGGCGACCCCACACGGGAGATGTACGCCACTGCTCCTCCTCCGCCTCCTCCTTTTTCCGGCCGCCGTGCGTGCCCGCTGACGCCGGTTGATTCGCGTGCGTGCGTGCGTGCATGCAGGACGGTGTTCTACGGGCAGTACAAGTGCACGGGGCCCGGCGCGAACTACGCCGGCAGGGTGCAGTGGTCGCGGGAGCTCACCGACGAGGAGGCCAAGCCCTTCATCTCGCTCGACTTCATCGACGGCTTCGAGTGGCTCCGCTTGTAGCACTAGCACGGGGTCCAGTCTAGGAACTCATTGTTGACACACCATGACCTTAATTAATTGCTGTGAAGAGAAAAACAAAAACAGAACGCAAATACTAATTCTTTTGTTGCAGTTGCGTAAGATGAGATTGGTGACTGATGATTTGATGAGGACTGCAGACTGCAGTAGCGCAGTGCAGATTGGTGCATCGAATCGCTGAAAGTTTTTTTTTTTTGAGACGATCGAATCGAATCGCTGCAGCCTGAAGTAGTCACTACGGGCTATTGTGGGCTAAAAAGGCCCAATACCTGCATCGAATCGCTGCATAGACTCTCATTTAAAGAGGCTTTCATGAACATGGCCTGGCGTGGCCCAGGCCTAGCGTCAGGTTTGGTGGACTTGCTGACGTGCAACTGCAGTCAAGCCCATTACTCGTTGCAGCCGAGCCCTGTTCGTTTGGGCTGCGTTGACTTACGAGTGACGGCTGAAAGTACTTCTGGCTGATTTAGTATGAGAGAAAAATATTATTTATTAGCTGATAAGTCATAACTTATAAGCCAAATACGA